CATAGGCACTGAAGTAGGAATGCCTCTGAATTACTAAATTAATTGGATCTAATCCCATTCAGTTGTTGATGCCCTGGTTGCAGCACTTTTTGTTGTAATTTTTCTTTTAACAGAGCCCTATAAATACTGTGTTTTCATTCACAGAAAAACAGAAGTTTTATAAATTATTTAGCTAAAGTTTCTGGAAGCAACTTGGTTGCTGAGAAGTAGAAAGAAAACCTACCTTTTTTTTTTTAATTTGGAACTTAAAATTATTGTCCAGTTAAAGACACAGATATGCGTGTGAAACTCCAGTGGTAATAGTAGTTATTTAATACATAAGCAAATGTTTCCTTGACTGAACTTGTCCCTCTGTATGCTGGTTTTCGTATTCCATACTCATCCTTGCACGTCTAATTTAATTTCCGTAATTTTTTCTGGTGAGGAGGATCCAGAGCAGCTTCTCAGAACAGACTTCATGTGTGGATCCCCCCAAGGGCTGATACACATTGACATGTACCTTTCAGTGGATTTGGCTGTTACTACTCAGTATTTTGTAATCTAGACTGAGTTCCTGAATTCTGATTGCTTACACCATCTCTTTTCAACTACATGCGTATGTCAGGTGCAAAAATGACAGGTCTTAGGAATTTAATTGGCACCTGCAAAGGAGTATAGGTTTGACCATCATGAAATTAATGTGCTTACTGTGATACTTACAGATTCATGTGTCATGGTTTGCCATTAGCGTGAGTGTAGTGGCGCAAACTCACTGTCAAGACTCCTTCACTTAAGCGGCATTTAGAAGATCAGTCATGTCTACTGTTTTGATGGTCTAGTTTTGATGTTTGTCACCAGTGTTAGTGAAATACTACAAGGGAGTTTTACTGTGTTTGACCTATTTTTTTTTTCGGGCACACATGTAATTTATAAAAATGAAATGCAAGGTTGGGTTTTAGAGCTGATATAATATTTCTACATTGTAAGCATTAGACTAATTAATGCATTTAGTTCAACAGGTCCACAAATACCTGTTGTCCCTGTTCACTTTTGTATGTATGCAGGACAGATTGTTTGCAGTAGTTGGTATTGAGTTGTACCTTAGAACAGTAGTTTACTGCTCATTTATCCTGCAAGATGTTTTTCTGAATAGCCTGTATGCGCAGAGATTTTAAAGATCAAAACTCATGATACAATGAGCTGATGATAATTTTTTCAAAAGCTTGTATAAGAGTTTTCAAACACATTGCATGTTGCAAATGCACTGCTGTTTAGGGGATAAATATTCTGTGGGGTATGCTACAGCAAAGCATATTTGACATCCAAAGATAGGCATCAAAGCCTGCTTTTATTACAAGTCGTCACAATGGAGGGGACACAGTGGCTTATTCTAATTTGTGGCTGTTGCATTTTGGCACGAACTGAAAGAAGCTGATAATTATATTCGTACAAGAGCTCTTCTTCACACTGCAGGAGAAAAAAAATGCCAACCAAACAAAACCAAAATACAGCCTGAAATTCTGCTTCGGTCAGTTGTTACTACCTGGCACTGTTTCTGCCGTTTTTCAGAGGCTGTGCAATGACTTAGAAAGGAGACTGAAGAGTTCTACCTTTCCTGCAGGTTGCCTGGCAGGTAACCACATGATGAGGCATATTTGGTTTTCCATGAAGAAAACAGAAGTCTTTTATTTCTAAAGTTGCCACTTCAGTTTAGTACAAATAAATTATGAAGGAGAGAAATAGTAATTAAAATTTGGGAAGGTTTGAAGGACACTAGTCTTTTGATTATTTTGTTAATTATTATTACTATTTATTATTATTATTTTACATAATCCTGCCTGCTTATGCTAGTTGCTGGGCAAAGTGTAATTTTTTTCCTTTATTCCTTAGAAACTTAATAGGACCTTACATATATCATCTTTAGATTAAAATGTGTAAAAGTTACACTGTTCTACATATCTGCAGAAAATAGGTCTAATTTAAGGGTTCCTACTGAAGATCTTGTGCCCAGTACCCCATTTTTCTTATTTGCAAGTAGCAATCCCTAACTAGCTTTAACTTTTGAGCTAATTTGAGTGAGGGTTTTTTTTGCATCTTATGTCCAAGAGAGCATTTTAGAAGGACTTTGGAAAATAAGGGTTTTATTTTATATTTTTACTCAAAAGGAAGATAACTTGAGCCTAGGTTATGATTAAATATGTTGAAATGTGCTGATTTAGAAGGTCAAAGTATGGCTCTTCTCCTCACTTCAGCAAAAGGACAGAATATTTAGTGCTTCTTAAAATAGTATCCACAGTAACACTAACGATGAGACCTTAAAGAAAAAAAGCTTCTTGCTTTTCCCTGTTTTCATAGGAAAATTGGAAATCTTGTTCTTATGCAAATCTTCATGTAGTTCATAGTCACTTAGCCAGATGGGATGCATGTTCTTCATGCTGTCATTGCAAGGTAAGTACAACAAACACAATGATTGTCGTACTCTGCCCTGTAAATGATTTCTAACTAAGCAGCTGTAACTAAGAAGGTGTTATTACCTATAAGCAGTATACTGCAGCTGCAACAGAGTTCAGCTCCTGGCAAAAGTGGCTGCTTTCGTACTGGTACTAGCGTGGGCTCCAGATGCAAACTAACATGGGAATGACTTGTAATTTTCATTTTCTCCTTTATACATGTTATGGATTAGCTTTCCAAAGTGAACAGTTCCTGTTCTTTTAAATAGAGAAAAACATCCAGCTATTGAACTTAAGGTATATGAAAGAAAGCTCTGTCTTGCATGAGTTTTCCTACACTTCTTTTAGTGAACAGTTCTTCATGCGGGAGATCAGTCTTCCTTACTTGTAGAGTTTAACTCTGATTATTCAGTGTGAAAGTCATGGCAGCAAGGAGATGGCTATCTACAAAAAAGTTGGATCTTTCATTGTACAAAAAAAGGTGGACTGGCATCTGTGTCATTTCATTTCCTTCTTTCATGCTGGTTTTGTTCAAGGGACTTTAGTCACTGCTGGTTTTCTATACGTAAGATTACTATATCTTTTTACTTTCTTCTGCCCCTTTTCTCCCTTTTCTTTCTGTATGTTAATATATGCATGTTACATATTATTTGTTTCTGTATATTAGACCTCTTTTTTAGGACGTTCATTAATAAATAACCAAATTGTGGCATTTACAGGATTTCCTCTTTGACTTCTTTTAACATGCTGGTTTTGTTTCAGACCTCTTTTTCTGCCTGTGTATTGCTGTAACAGGTAGGGAAAAAAAGGAGACACACTCCAAAGGGCAGATGGCATTGTCTTTATGTTATAGGTAAAACCAGTAGTTTAACAATCCCAGGACCGAGTGCTGAACTCACATTGCTATTGTTTGCTATCCACAGCAGGCTGTGAAGCAACATAGATTATAATTAAACAGGCAGATCAAAAGAAGTGCAGTGCCTTCTAATGGAAAAGTAGAGAAGAGAGGAAGAAAAGTAACTGTCACAGTAAGCTAGTAAACTCAGCTGAAATAATAGGAAGACTAGGTGTTAGTCTTCTGATAAGTGAAAGATAAAAGATGCCACTGGTGCGAACTGGAGAATCCTCACCTTGTCTTGAGTACGGGTACCAAAGATTTTCTGAAAGTGTAAGTTAAAGATAACAGTAGTAAAGGTGACAGTGATGTGGCTTGATATGTATATAAAAGGAATAATTATTCAATTTTTTTTGCTTTTAAACCTGACCTGATACAGGAATACACTGTGGCCTGCCCGACTTGCTTTACAGTTCGTAATGCAGAACGCTGTTTTCCAGAAGGAAGGGTTGACCGCTGGGTTTGCATATGTTTATAGCAGTAGTAGCTGCTCACTGCGCATTCATCTTGTGTCACGTGGCTTTCATATATGGGCATCTGAACATTCAGAGGCCTGAACTGTGCGATAGCAGAGATCAAAATTCTGCAAGCAAAAGTGACTCTCTGCCCCGGCTCCCCCTCCCCTTTTGCCAACAGCAGCATCTTTAACGCCGGAGTTTATTCTGTGGAATTCTGTGTTTTCTAATACGACATGAGAGTGACTGATCATTCATTATTTTGTTGAGCACTTGAATTTGTTTTCTATTTTGCACTCTAGCTTTGCCCTTTCTGAAATTATACCCCATCTGAAGCATACTCAGACTATGAAGTAGTAGTGCAAAGGGAGGGGGAAATTAGTCATTTCTGGACCGATGGCTGTAACCATGTTTTCATACCCAGTTATAATGCAGAATTGTTTGCTTTTCACCTTGTGTCTGAATAGATAAGAGCTTTTAAAATACGTCTCTGCAAAACTGACAGTTGAGTTTTCACGGCAGCCTGGAGTCTGTTAGTTTTGGCAACAAGTGAGGATGGGTGATAATGGACACCATTAAATGATGATGAATGCCATTAAAACACTTTGAGAGTTTCGGCTTTGTGGTTCCAAGGGTGTTAACAAAACAAAAGAAGATTCCTGTATGGATGCATTTGAAGTTTCACATTCTTTCTGGATAGCAGAGAACAAAAAAAATGAATGAAATAAAACAGTACATCTGCCCTGCAAAACCTACTTTTTTGCAGAGCTGTACTAATTACAGTACACTCTCATTCTTCTCCCACTTTCCCTTCTAAACTGTTGGCTGCAGGTGATTCCATATCTGCATAAGAAAGTCCAGTGCTACTGTGCCTAATTACTGAATATTTTTTCCCTATTGTGGATTAAGAAATGCTGCCAAAATTTACACCATGTGTAATGTGGAAGTGACTTATTTTGAAATTAATGAAATTATCCCACGTTTACTGTGACACAGTTTAGTTCTTCAAATAAATATTAGAGTTCAGGAACAGTATTACTTCCTGACAAAGTTTTATTTAATGCAAAAATAGAAACTGTTTGTGTACGTTAGTCAAACATTCCCTCTTTTCAAGTATTTGAAGTTTTATGTTTGAGATAAACATATTTTAAAATTTTCAGCTATTACTGAGTTCCCATAACTTGTATTTTTGGTTGACTGTCGTCTCCCTTCTCTTTGCAGTAAAGGGTTGCCTTCGAGTTCAACATTCACTTTAGAAGACAATGCCATTTATTTGACTTCAGAACAGAGTACACTGGAAATGGAAAATGATAATGCTTCAGTTTTGGATGTCTACTTAGTAAGTTATTAAAGTGTTTCTGATGAGCTTTTTCCGCTGTAATTCCTTTCACTTGGGCTCAGTAAGTGACTAAAATACATGCTTAACTTCAAGATCCAGAGGTTCATTGAGGTATTTTTTATATGAGACATCTGCTTAAGTACCTTGCCAAAGCAAATCCTTCCAGAATCTATGTGGCTATTAACTATTGGGTTAATAACGAAGTATGCCAAAAATGCTTTTCAGTTTTTGTCTAATCCTAGGTGTTTTTTTCCTATTATTTGTTTTCCGGGGGCAGGGGGGAGGGAAGAAAGAAAAAACTTTCCTCTTCATGCTGAATATTCCACAACACAGAAATTAAGTTTTCTCAGAGAGGAAAGTTCTTTGTTTACATCAGTGATTGTGAAGCCAGTGTAGTAGAGCTCAATATGACGTACATTAGCGGCTCCACTTTCTGCTCTGAAGGGTTGTCCAGTTTTGGTGGCTGGAATATGATTAAAAATGTGTCTTTTCTTTGCTGTTTTGGTTCCTAGTGAGCAGTTTAGCTGACTGCTGAAAGATAAGCTCAAGTCTACATCTTTGGTTGTCTTCGTAGCACTTGTGTTTTAAAAATTATCTTCGTATCTACACTTCACATTCAACAGACATAAAAGCAGTAAGCACCCAACTCCAGTTCCAAATGAGTGTTTTGTGCAGCTAACCCTTTTAGGCCATTTTGAAAATCTCAGTATTGATATAGGAGGGAGGTATGTTAAGCTTCGCCTTTTTTCTGAAGGTTTTGTTTTCCTAAAGTACAAATTAAACAGTTCTGATATTACACTAATAATATTTTCCCTCTATTTTCATAAATAAATGTCTATGACTTTTGTGGCAAGAATTGTACTAGAGAGGAAGGGTCAAAAAGGAAAGTCTGTTCATTAGGTATTTAATAAGTGTTTCACACAGGCATGTTTGTTCCCTTTTTAGATAAAGTTCACTACAGTCTTTATTTTTCTTATCTCTAGAGTTTCTTGACTTTTGTCTGAGATCCAGAATATTATAGAATCACAGAACAGCCCAGGTTGGAAGGGACCTCAAGAGATCATCTGGTCCAACCTTCCATGGGAAGGGGAGCCTAGATGAGATTATCTAGTACCCTGTCCCATCACATCTTGAAAACCTCCAGTGATGGGGGACCCTACCACATCCCTACAGAGGTTATTCCAGGGATTGATGATTTGTCCTGAAAAACTTTTTCTTATATCAACATGAAACATGTTGTCACATGTTTGTGTCTGATCCACATGTGGTTTCACTGTAGTCTGTACCACTGATTTTTTATTTTCTTCTTTTTAGCCAGCAATGAGTATATACAGCACCCACCTAAAAGCTACTATTTTAATAGTCCAGCACACTTAGAGGGGAGTTGTTGTCTATCCTGCCTCCACTGAAACAAGACAGTCACAAGTATCAGTGGCCAGTTAGATGTAGAATTTAGTTAACTGTGACTTCAAGTAGTCAGTTATATCAGCCTGTTCCTGTAGGACTTGTGTCAATTGACGTTGTTGCTGCTATGATGCTGATATGAATTGGAGGGACTCACAGATCCTAAAATGTTGTGGGAAACAGACAAATGAGTAATCACATGCACCCTAACCTTGCTAGCAGATTGGCTGACTTAGTGAATTGTGCTTTAAACTAAAAAACTTGGTGGGTGGGATCCAGAGCTGTGACACCTACATATTCATAAACAATAGGGTGGATGAGCACACCTACTAGAGTAGTGAGGAATGCTCCCCAACCCTTTACAAAGCCAAGAACCTCAAGTCAGCCACCTCAAGTGCATGTATACCAATGCGCATAGTCTAGGCAGCAAAGAGGAGGAACTGGCGCTCCATGCCCAGTATGAGAGTTATGATGTAATGGGAATCATAGAAACCTGTTGGGAAGACTCACATGACTGGAAGACAACAGTGGATGGCTACAAACTATTTTAGAAAGATAGGAAGGGAGGAAGAGGAGGTGGAGTTACACTTCATAAAAAAAGGGAAATTTGAGTGTATAGAAGTAAGCTATGGAGATGACAGAAGTTCTGTCAAATGCCTGTGGATCAAGATTAGATGGTTCATCACTTAAGAGGATCTTATGTTACGTATTTGTTACTGACCTTCCAACCAGCATGACAAGGCTGACAGAACCTTACTTTGGTTGCTCAAGAAAGTCCTGGGCCAACGGAACCTGGTCCTCATGGGTGTCCTCAGTTATCCAGAGATTTGTTGGGAGAACAACACAGCAGTGCACAAGTTGTCCATGAGATTTCTGGAATGCATGGGGGCTGCTTCCTGCTACAGATGCTGGACATGCCGACTAGGAACAGTGCTTTGCTAGATTTACTGCTCACAAACGGAGAAGGTGCACTTGACAACATGACTACCAGTGATAGCCTTGGATACAGCAATCACAACATTGTGGAGTTTAAGATCCCGGTGAGCACACTGAGGACCAGTAGTAGGACAAAGGCCCTGGATTTTAGAAGAGCCAGTTTCAATATGCTCAGAGCCCAAATGCAAGAGATTCCATGGGAAGCATGTATGGAGGGCAAAGGAGCTTGTGAGTGCTGGGAGTTTTTAAAGAACAGCCTGCTGGAAGCACAAGAACAGTCCATCATCTACAAAGGGAAAGGAAGGCTGAACAAGAGACCACCCTGGCTTAACAATGAGCTTTTGGATGTTCTTAAAAGCAAAAAAGAAGCATACAAGCTATGGAAAGGTGTCCAAATACCTGCTGAGGACTACAAGAACCTTGCTTAGGGCATGCAGAGATGCAGACAAGAAGGTTAAGCCTCAGCTAGAACTGAAATTGGCAAGAGATGTCAAGAAGAAAAAGGGTTCTTCAGATATACGAGCAATTAGGCAAGAGCACAGGGAAGACATAGGCCTGTTACTTAAACAGGGTGGGGAAATGAGTTACAAAGAATGCTGACAAGGCAGAGGTTCTCCGTACCTTCTTTGCCTCTGTCTCTACTGGTGTAGCTGGACCCCAGATCATGCGATCAAGTAGCTACAACATTGCATGTGTTGACCCACACTACCCAGTATAGTGGCCCTCTGCAAGGGCTCCACCCACATAAATTGATGGGCCCAGGGGGAATCTACCCCAGGGTGTTAACAGAAGTGGCTGACGTGGTTGCAAGGCCACTGTCTATTATCTTTGAAAAGCTGTGGCAATCGGGGTCATCCCTGATGACTGGAAGAGGGAAAATCTCATACCCATCTAGGAGAATAGCCCAAAAGAGGACTCAAGAAACTACAGGTCCATCAGCCTTACTTCAGTCCCTGGGAAAGTGGTGGAATGACTCCTAGAAACTATTACACACCAAATGAAGCAGGTGACTGGGAAAGTCCAGGACAGATTTACCACAGGCAAATCATGCTAGGCTAACCCGATCACCTTCTACAGCAAAATAACATCTTCTGTTGACATGAAGAGAGCAGAGGATGTTGTTCAGCTGGACTTCAGAAAAGCATTCAACACTGTTTTCTACAGCCCTTTCCTGGACAAACTGCCAGGCTACAGACTGGATGGGTGGTCTGCGAAATGGGTAGGAAATTGTCTCACAGGCTGCACTCAGAAGGTAGTGATGAATGGTTGTTACTCTGGCTGGCAGCCTGTCACAAATGTTGTCCCCCAGGGATCAATACTGAGCCCCAAGTTGTTCAGTATCTTCATAAACGGTCTGGACAATGGGACTGAAAGCCACCTCACCTAAACTGCTGATGACACCAAGCTGGGTGCTGAGGTGGACACGTCAGAAGGGAGAGCCATCTTACAGAGACCTGGACAGGCTGGCAGAGTGGGCTAGCGCGAACTGTATGAAGTTTAGCAAAGAGAAGTGCAAAGTCCTCCACCTGGGACAATGTAACCAAAGAGCCCAGCACAGGCTATGATCTGTGTGGCTGGAGAGCAGCCTTGCTAAGAGGGACCCAGGGGTCTTGGTGGCT